CCTGATATTATCCTTTTTATTTCAGCTGGTTCTGTTGTGATGTCACCCATTTCATTTCTTATTCGTGTTATTTGTATTCTCTCCCTCTTAAATTAATATTCTTATTTTGCAGGAAGTTGGTGAACCATCTAAAGAAGAAAAGGCTGTAGCCAAGTATCTTCGATTCAATTGTCCAACAAAGTCCACCAATATGATGGGTCATCGGGTTGATTATTTTATTGGTAAGGTTATTTATAGCAGTAAAATCATTAGTGTATGTCTTATGAAGATACCTAAATTTGGGATTTTTAGAAATTTTTATAGTACTTTCTAAGTGTAATTGTTGAAGTGGGTAATGGACATGTGGACACATTTATTTCTCTATTATTTTAATGATTAAAAAATTTCTATAATAAAAAGATAAAAGTGCTTTCCAAAAACAAATATTTGTTGGAATATTTTTAAATAGGATTTATTTCCACTGTTATACTTACTACCTTTGTTCAGATAGTGTTTGTACTTACTCTTTATATAACTCAGCAGTAAAAATGAGTGTGAAATTGCACTTTAGTCTATTGGCACCAACTTAGGAGCTTTGGTTCTTCACATTATCCACATAACCTCATTATAAGCTAATGTCATCTATAATAGAGCCCGATAGCTTGGCTGAATTTGCCAAAATAGGGAATTGCCAGTATTGTGTTAAGATTAGTTTTGATAGTCACTTAAAAAAAAAAAAAGTAGACGTGCCACTCTCCTCATATCTAATATACTTTGCTGCCTCTAGCAAGAGCAGTAAGGAGCTCTGGTAACTCATTGGTTAAGTGCTCAGCTGCCAACTGAAAGGTTGGTTGTTTGAACTCACCCGGAATGGCTCCTCAGGATAAAGATGGTGTTTTGGTTACCTCTGTGTCACTAAAAGAAAATACCTCAAATGGGATGGCTTGAACAAATAGGAGTTCATTCTCTTACAGTTTGGGGGCTTTAAGTCTGAGTTCAAAGTGCCAGGCTCTAAGGGCTGGGTGAAAGCCCCTCAACCTTGGGCTTCAGCTCTGCCTCCTGCTCTCAGCCCACTGAAGCTAGAGGCTTTTCTTCACTCAGCTACTGGCTGCTAAGACTGACAAGCCCAAGGTTGACAAGTAAAAAGGCACAGTCCTGATGTTACCAAACCACACGGCAGGCCGTTAATTTAAGTCCGTTGAAAGTCCCGAGGTCAGCAAGAGCATGGCAGGCTGCTGAACAATGACACAGCTACATGCAGGGTTCAAGTGTGCCATAAGCTAGAGACGGTTCCCAGTGCTTCTGCTTATATACGGGAAGCAGACCACATCCCTAAAGCAGCTACTCAGCTGTTCCAATACATTCCACCATGGAGTTAATTACCATTCTTACCATGGGGAATAACTACATCCAGCTGCCCAGCCACTCAGCCAGGTCTAGCCAAGATGACATAGAAACTTAACTAGCACACATGGTGGTCTGCTCACATAAAGATTACAGCCTAGAAAATCCTAGGTACAGTTCTACTCAGACACATGGGGTCACTATGAGATTAATTTACCAATATGTTTCACAGGTTGAGGTTTTAAGAAACTATAATGATGTCAGACTTAATTTTCTACATTCTGCATTTTCCCTTAAAAGGCTTTTGCTCTAATAATTTTGTCTTTATTATAAGAAATTGGGCTTTATTTCATTTTCTGTTGACAGAATGTTGAAATTTGCTTTATATAATTTGAATTTGTTAGACATGAATTCCCAGTTATACTAAATTTAAAATAATTTCCTTTTAGCTTCAAAAGCCGTGGATTGCCTTTTAGATTCAAAATGGGCAAAGGCCAAGAAAGGAGAGGAAGCTTTATTTACAACTCGGGAGTCTGTGGTTGACTACTGCAACAGGTAATATTTCTTTATTAGCAAAAGACAATGTAAATAGTAATTTTAATATATATTCTGCATATTCCTGAAGCTTCTTAACTATTTTTATCCTTAAATGTAGTGATACTACAATGTAGTTCAAGTATAGCTTTTACATGTAATCTGTATTTTTTTTAGTTCTTCTGGAGATGTTTTTATTTTTATGTTTGTATTTTGTATTTTTTAACTAATTTTTATTTTTCCATTCTGTTACATTTGTACATTTGCTAGGCTGACAGTGAAAAACCACTTCAGAGTCCTCTGAAGTTTAAAGCAATAAAAATCTTAACACCAGTGCCTATAGTGAACAAAAGCTTCTTTTCTAGAGTAAATGATTGGGAAGTCTTTTTCTCTAAAACTTTGACAGGGATTCCTAGTAACTGTTGTTCTTGTTTTTTTTTAGTGCCTATTCCCTTAGCCATAAACCAGACACCCTTCTCTGTTTGCTTGGTTAGAGATTGCTAATGTAGTACCTCCTTGTAAAAATCAAGGCAGCTGCAGCATCTACCTTGTTTTTTTCTTGGATTCCGAGATGAAATAGAGGCAGTTTAGTAGTGTACACATAGTTTTCATAGTATGTACTTTATTTGGGAAAATCTTTGGTGAACAGTGTGCCTAAAAGATAAAAATCACTTTCTTCTTGTAAAGAAGTATGCTGGTTTTTATTTCTACTTTGTTCCCCTTAGTTAACTTAATAATAATTAAATATATTTATTAATAGATGTTAACTAAGTTTTGTTTTCATGACATTAAAGCTTATATTCAGTGGGAATTTGAGATTTATCATGTGTGTTTGTTAGGGAGGTACACATAGCATTTACTAATACTTTGTTTAATGGCACTTAAAGTATCTCAGCCACATGATAGAATGCTCTCAAACTCACTCTTTCACAACCTGGTTTCTTAAACTGTGAAGTTAGCAAGTATATGTTAAAGTTCTTAGTTGCCCAAGACTGGAATCTCAAAGGGACCTTTCAGAACGTAACTTTCATTGTTAGAGTAGGAATGAGCTAACACTGATAAAATCGACATTTACCTTTCCTTTACAGCAGTTTTTATAATTAGAATTAACCAGAGTGCAAACTTCCTCTTCTTTGGCTGCTGTAAAATAGATTTATTTTTATGTATCATGTAAAAATTAAGAGATGCTATAAATGCAGCAACTGAGACAAGGAAAAGTTAGGTAACCTGCCCACAGCCTGTACCCTGGTCACAAAGGAAGTCAGTGACAAAGCAGGAATCTAAATCTAGCAGTTTGGCTTTACCACTGCCCTGTGTTGTCTCCATTATGTCAGGTTAATCTGCTTTGTGTTCTTCTGCATTAAAGGGGAGAAGGATAACTCTAAGCATACCTTCTAAGAACCACAGAGGCCCCATGGTGTCTAGCCCTTATGAGTTTCTATCCAGTCACAGACACGACCTCAGCCATTTTCCTTAAGCTGATAAGTGGTTTCGAGGAAGTCTCAGGAAAAACAAAAGACAACAAGAAAATGTAGGCTGAAACACAAAACAATTTCTAATATGTGTTAGAAACAAATGTTTACCTATATCTTTTTATGGCCTATTTAAAGTATAAATTCTTCAACCTTTAATCTTAACCATTTTAGCTCCATATGACTTCATGTCATCAACTCCCAGTCCAGTAATGTCCTTCTCACTCATGCATTTGCCACACTCATTCTGTTTGGTCTTTACTCGATCATAACCTGCCACTTCCCCCGAATAGTTCTCTCTCTTATCTGCCTCTTTTTCTGCGTATCTCTTAATATTTAAAACATCCCTCAAGTCCCACCTCTACCAAGTCCTTTAGCCCACATTAATCTTTGTATCTAAAGTTTCACTGAATTTATATAGTTAATATCTCAGTTTAACCTTTAACTGTTTCAGAATTGTTTCACCTATGTTCCTTTTTTCCAGCTAAATCTGAAGACTGTTGTAGGACTCTTTTATACTTTATTGTAACTTCATAATGATTAGCATAATGTGGGTACTTAATAGAAACTCACTATTGCCACCTGTGACACAGGACTGGCATTCAGTCAATGTTTGTTAAACCCGAAAAAAAATTTAAGAGATGAGGGAAATATATAGATGTAATTTAATGACTTTTAATAAGCTGTTTTTCAGTTTATTCATTCAATAATCAAATCAATTACCTACTATATTCCAGACCCCAGAAATACAAGGATGACTGCAACTTGGTCCCTGCCTCAAAGCTCATTCTAGTCTATTGTGGAAGGCAGATACGTAACTACTTATAATGGAGTGTTACAAACTCTGCAAGGAATACATAGATGAAGAACCTGTCAAGAATAGCTTCAGATACCCAAATCATAATAAATTTTTTTTTAAAAAAAGCTTCACAGATGTTTTAATCAGTTTTTAAACATAAATAAGTGATTATCTGGCAGACAGTAGGAGAGAGAACATTAATTCGAGGCAGAGGGCACAGAACATAGAGAGGAAGATGGAGTAGCTCTGTGAAAATGTCACCTTTCTATAAGTTGCTTGTCTTGTAATGCACGCATTTAAAGCAAATTAAATAGGGGCTCTGATTTCATTAACGACATTAAATAATGATGATCTCACTTTTCTAGGCATAGAATGTGTTAAATTAAGCAATCTCTCTAAAGAACAAAGAATATGTCAGTGATTCTACTTAATACAGAATGGAATGATGCTTTAATGTAACCAGATGTGTGTGTGTGTGTGTGTGTGTGTTCCATAACTACTAATGAAATTCAGAAAAAATTGCTATTTAGCAGTAATAATAATGGCTAACATATGCCAGTCACATATCCTGCAAATAGCCTCTATGAGATAGATCCCATTAGTAACCCATTTTAGAAATAAACTAAAATTAGGTAACCAACATCACCCAGCTAGTTAAGTGGTAGAGGTAATATTTGATGTTTCCTGAATGTGAAAGTTGGTATCAACTTTCTTTCCTGGAGGTGGGGCAGCTATGCAGGAGGAATGACAAGCAAATGCTCCTGCTGGTTCTGTGCCCTTCTGTAACTACTCAGAGGAAAAAGACTTTTTCCACCCTCTAAGATCGAGGAGTCAGCTGCAGGGATCCAGTTGAGGAGAGGTATGCCGGGCCACGCCCCATAACGGCAAGGTGGGAAAGTAGGGAAAGGACAGAAAAAGCCAAGGGAACTGGGACAGAGCAAGGAGTCAGCCGCAGGGATCCAGGTGAGGAAAGGGAAATCAAGCCATGCCCTACAAGCGGCAAGGTGGGAAAGCAGGGAAAGGACAGAAAAGGCCAAGGGGACCGGGTCAGAGTGAGGAGTTGGCCGCAGGGATCCAGGTAAGGGTGGTTAGAGAGGTTTCCAACAGCTAAGGGAGACAAACTTGTCTGTCGGTTTGTCTTACTGTGGTGACGTGTTGCTGTGAGTCTTGAGGTTGTGCCACTGTTGTTTCAAACCCAGTGGGGTGTACATGGTGCACAGGTATCAGACCGGCTTGCAGACTGAGACAGACTAGGAAGAAGGAAGATGCCATCCACTTCTCAAAGAATTGGCCAGGGAAAACCTTATGAATAGCAGAGAAACACTGTCTGATACGTTACTGCGCAACTTTGTGAAT